CCTCTAAGAAAATTCCCCGAAGCCTGGTAGCTACCACCCCTGTCTCCCCGACTCCCCAGCCCCAGTGTCCTTCCCCCATGTCCTTCCTCTGGGCAGAGGAGGGGCCAGCCCTAGGCCTGGTCTCAGGCCTTTTCACCAGTTTATCCACACACCTCCCCACTTCCTGAGTTCTTTACCTGAGATGCTGTGCAGAGCACGATGTAATGGAAGGATCGAGGGCTTTAGCTCAGAAAACCCTGGGTTCGAATCCTAGCTCTACCAGTTTCTAGTTGTGAAACCTTACTCCTCGTTGAGCCTCAGTTTGCCCTGCTGTCAAATGGGGCAAATGCCTAAGAAGACTGTTGTCCAGCTCAAGTGAGCTCATGGGCAGGAGAGGGTTTTGGAAATAGAGTGTGGACTGGTGAGAAGCACCTCACTTATCCCCCTCGAGAGAGCCCACGGCCACCTCAGGCCCTGCCTGTCCTGCCTTTCCTTTCCAATCCCAGCTGCGCCCCTGCCCCGGCCCACAACTCACTTTCCAAACCTGCACAGACTACACCAGGGCTCAGCAACGGAGTGGCAGGACCCTGAGGCGCTGGCAACCAGGCCTGGGCACATCAGCTGGGCACCTTGATAAAATGAGGCTGATTTCTGGGATCAGCCAATGAGACTTTGGCAGGGACACTCCCCTCCCACCTCGAGTGGTGGCCAAGGTCACCAAGCCCTTCGCAGGCTGGGCTAAACTGGACAGACACCAGGACAGGACAGTCAGGAGGGACCAGGGGTCTTTCCTTCCCAGGGAGCAAGGCCAGAGCCTAGGACAGGCCCCAAAGCCAACTCCACTGGACATAACTTTGTGGGGGCTGAGTTATCTGGGACAGCCCAGCAGTTACACTCAAAGCAGCTGAGCCTGGCCAGCGTTCAAACACCGACTCCCCCACTTCCTGGCGTGATCGTGGGCAAGCGACTTCACCTCTCTGAGCCTCTGTTTCTTTCTCTGCAAAATGAGGTAATATCAGCACCCACCTCATGGAATGCTGTGAGGATTAAATGCACTTTTAGTATCTGATTCGGGGCCTGACACTTGGAACGTGTCTAATAAAGGTTATCTCTCACTTCCTTCAACTTTGGGAAAGAAGGAATGCTGGGAATTCCATCCTTTTGCAGAAGGGAAAAAGAGTTCAAGCCCACTCCTTCTGGGATAAGTCAACGAGGGAAATCTGGTGAGGGTGGAAGAGAGGGATCGAGCACAGCCACCCCATTTCGTGCCTGGCGCGGAAACGCCGGTCCCTGGGTCAGTGGGGAGGTGGCAGGTAACTTAGAGTTCATCATTGGTTTGCGGGACTCTAGCTGAAATTTTCTGGGAGAACAACTGGGATTTAAGAGGACAGCATCAGTTACAAAGCTGAAAGAAAGCTCTAGAAACTAGGAAAATTGTCCGGGCCTGGTGGCTCATGCCTATAATCCCAGCCCCTTGGGAGGCCAAGGTGGGTGGGTCACCAGAGGTCAGGGGTTCAACACCAGCCTGGCCCACATGGTGAAACCCCATCTCTACTAAAAATACAAAAATTAGCCTGGCATGGTGCTGCATGCCTGTAATCCCAGTTACTTGGGAGGCTGAAGCAGGAGAATCGCTTGAACATGGGAGGCGGAGGTTGCAGTGAGCCGAGATTGCACCACTGCACTCCAGCCTGGGCAAGAGTGAGACTCTATCTCAAAAGTAAAAAAAAGAAAAAAGAAACTGGGAAAATCTTCAGTGTAGCCACACTCTTCCGCTCCCCAACCTCGGGGGCTGTTATGGGTTGACCTGCATCCTCCAAAAAGATACGTTGAAGCCCTCAGGCCCAGTACCCCAGAATGTGGCCTGATTTGGAAATAGGGTCGTTGCAGAAGTCATCAGTTAAGATGAAGTCATACTAGGGTAGGGCAGGCCCTTAACCCTATATGCCTGGTGTCCTTAGGAGAAGACATTGTGGTCGGGTGCAGTGGCTCATGCCTGTAATCCCAGCACTTTGGGAGTCTGAGGCAGGAGGATCCCTTGAGCCCAGGAGTTTGAGACCAGCCTGGGCAACACAGCAAGATCTAGTATCTACAAAAATATTCATTTATTTTTTTATTTTTTTGAGACAGAGTCTTGCTCTGTTGCCCAGGCTGGAGTACAGTGGCACAACCTAGGCTCACTGCAACCTCTGCCTCCCAGATTCAAGCAATTCTCCTGTCTCAGCCTCCCAAGTGACTGGGATTACAGGCATGCACTACCATGCCCAACTAATTATTGTATTTTTAGTAGAGACAGGGTTTCGCCATATTGGCCAGGCTGGTCTCAAACTCCTGACCTCAGGTGATCCACCCACCTCGGCCTCCCAAAGTGCTGGGATTACAGGCATGAGCCACTGCGCTCGGCCTCTACAAAAAATTCTAAAAAGTAGCAGGCATAGTGGTGTGCACCTGTGATCTCAGCTATTTGGGAGGCTGAGGTGGAAGGATCTCTAGAGCCTGGGGGGTTGAGGCTGCAGTGAGCTATGATCATCACACCACTCTACTCCACCTTGGTGACAGAGTGAGACCCTGGCTCAAAGGAAAAGGAGAAGAAGAGGAGGGAGGGAAGAAGAAGAAGAAAGAAGAGAGAAGGGGAAAGGGGAGGAGGAGGGAAAGGGGGAGGAGGAGGGAAGGGGGAGGAGGGGGGAGAAGGAGGAGAAGAGGAAGAAGAGGAAGAAGAAGAAGAAGGAGAAGGGGGGGAGAAGGAAGGAAGAGAAGAAGGGAGGGAGGGAGGGTGGGAGGAAGGAAGGGAGGGCGGGAAAGAGAGAAAGAGGGAGGGAGGGATCATGGAGACCCATGACGGAGATGGCCGTATGACAATGGAGGCAGAGTGAGGAGGGGGACGGGGAATGAATCTCTAAGCCAAGTAACACCAAGCAAGGATTACCAGCAAACACCAGAAGCTGGAAGAGGCAAGGAAGGGTCCTCCCCCACCAGGTTTAAGGTGCCCTGTTGACACCTTGATTTTGGGCTTCTGGCCTCCAGAACTGTGAAAAAATTAATGTCTGGTGCTTGAAGGCCCCTGTGTGTGGTGCTCTGTTACCAACTTCTAGGGGCATCCAGAAGCCCTAGGATGCAAAGGCAGAGGTCTAAAATGAGAAGCCCCTTCCCAGGGGAGGTGGTATGAGGGGAAGGCCACGGGAGGCACTGCGTGGGGTCTGCGTGGCCTGGGCAGGGCCCCTTAACCTGTGCTCCCAACCCCGAGCGCAAAGGTGTCTGATCCCCAGCACCTCCTCCTAGGGACACAGGCCATGATCCTCTGTGGCCCAGACAGCAGCCTCCCCTCAGCCCCAGACAGACGCCTTTTTCAGCTCCACCGTAAGGAAGAGTTTTCTAGATTAGAAGGCACTTAATAGGTGTTTGCTGTGAAAGTGAAAATCAACAAGGGCTGCTGGGCGGGTTTACTGGGAAGCTACTGACACGTAAGCTGCAGCCTCTTCCAAGCTGGCACCTTGACCTCCAGCCTCCAGAGCTGAGACAATAAGTTTCTGTTGTTTTAAGACATCAAGTATGGTACTTTTGTTCCAGGAGCACTAGGAAACGGATAGAGACGGTAATTGGGATACAACCTGCAGATGGATTTTGGCCTCAAAAATGTCTGGCTCCTGGGTGCCCCTGACTCCTTAATGCAAGAAACAAGCAGGGAGGGCTCAGATGGTAGTTTCTTCACACAGGAGAGGATGCAGTGATCCCAGGAAGGAGGCACAGGTGACCCAGAAACTCCCAGCAGACTGGGCGCGGTGGCTCACGCCTGTAATTCCAGCACTTTGGGAGGCCAAAGTGGGCGGATCATTTGGGATCAGGAGTTCGAGACCAGCCTGGCCAACATGGCGAAACCCCATCTCTACTGAAAATACAAAAATCAGCTGGGTGTGGTGGCGCATGCCTGTAATCCCAGCTACTCGAGAGGCTGAGACAGGAGAATCCCTCGAACCTGGGAGGCAGAGGTTGCAGTGAGCCGAGATCACGCCACTGCACTCCAGCCTGGGTGACAGAGTGAGACTCCTTCTCAGAAACAACGAAAGAAACCAAAACACCTGCCAGCAGAGTGGTGGCGGAGCCCGTGTTTCCACCGCTGCAAAGTGTAAAGGGAGATGGAAGGAGAAAGAGAGAGATGAGAAAGGACACATGTGCCCCTCAGGCCTGAGCCTCGGACTGGGCAGGAGGGTCTGTGGGGACACTGGGACAGACAGATCCCCCAAGAACCCCAAGCCTATAGCCCACCTCCTCCTTGCTCAGCAGCGGCGGGCAGCCCCGGCTCCCTTCAGGCCGCAGGTGACGTGTCCAGAAGACCCCACATGCCCCAGAATGGGGTCTCCAGCTGCCGAGAGGGCTGACGGCCCAGCAGAGGTCTGGACAGGTGACTCTGGGCCAGAGCGGAAGGACACATGGGACTCCACAGCCAGATAGCGGCAGAGCCACGAGGGGTGCTGTCCACCGTGCTTCCAGCCCTCTCTGCACACAGGATAGAAAAGGGTGCTTGGGATGGAGTGTTTTTTTTTTTTGAGATGGAGTCTTGCTCTGTCGCCCGGGCTGGAGTGCAGTGGCTGGATCTCAGCTCACTGCAAGCTCCGCCTCCCGGGTTTACGCCATTCTCCTGCCTCAGCCTCCCGAGTAGCGGGGACTACAGGCGCCCGCCACCTCGCCCGGCTAGTTTTTTGTATTTTTTAGTAGAGACGGGGTTTCACCGTGTTAGCCAGGATGGTCTCGATCTCCTGACCTCGTGATCCGCGATGGAGTGTTTGATGATGAGGGAAGACTGACAGACAGCAGGGGCAGAAGAAAAACAGCCATGACCCTCACCAGATGGCTGCCAGGCCTCACTCTTGCAATGAGGCTGAACCAAGTTTCCAAGCCAACCAGCCACACCCAGGTGTCCTTGGAGAGGGACTCTCCTCTCTGCCTCTGCCAGGGCCAGGGGATGTGAACGGTCTCAGATAAGGAGGGACCTAAGTGGGCAAGGAACACACAGCCCGACCTCATCGCCTGTGAACGCCCACAGCTGAGAACATTTATTTTCTGCCCCAGGGCTCTGTGCAGGGCCAGAGAGAAGATAAGATTAGGAGACAGGTGGACTTCCCCAGAGAGGCAAGTGGGGCGGCCGGGGGAAGAGCCACATCCTCTGGGTCTGGTAGGGAATAAGCCAGGGACATGCAGGCCCGCCATGGGCCTGGTGGCCCTGCTGCAGGACTAGAGAAGATGGCAGAGCACCTCAGAACCTGACATGGGAGCCCTCCTTCACAGAGGACATGAAGGTGGCCTTCAGAGGCCTTGGGGGCCGCTCGAGGGAGGAGACAATGTGCTTGGGGGTTGCTGACCTCTGCAGGGTGGACTTGGACACTGGGGATGGGACCGAGGGGGTGGAATGGGCCGTGGAGGCCGACTGGGGCCGCAGCAAGAAAGAGAACTGGGGCCTCAGGAAGGCAGGCAAGCTGGAGTCCAGCAGCCTGGAGGCTGAGGCGGTGACAGATAACAAGGAAGATGGGGAGGAGGTGGCTGCAGGCGTGCTGTCCATGGTATCCAGCACAGCCTGCTCCCTGCTGGGCACCAGGTCCTTCTGGACATCGTGGGCTACCAGGCGGATGTGCTGGTCCTGCTGGTCTGGGCCCCTGCTGGTCAGGAAGTCGGGCTGCTGGGTGGGCATCAGATCATTGAAGTGCAGGCTTTGGTAGACCTGAGGCGAGATCTGCAGGGAACAGAGTGGGGAGCGGGAACGGGGCACCAGGTGGAGCCAGGGACACCCAGGATCAAGAGTAGACTTGCAGGAAGGAGGTGCCCTGAGGTCTTCCCATGCCAAGAAGGCATGTCCAGAGGACTGCGGTTGCCACTAACCACTGTTGTCTGCAGACCCATGCAACCACCCTGCACCAGGCCAGGCACCCAGCCCTGCTCTCCACCCAATTATGGTGCTTCTGACGACCCTGTGAGCTGGCGAGGAGACTGTCCACTTCTGCGAATGAGGCCTCGAGCTGGACCCTGGGTGAGGCCCAGGTGCAAAGAGCTCCTTGGAGCAATCCACCTCACACCAGCCTCTCCCCAGCCCGGGACAGGGGGCCCTGCAGAGACATGGCCTTCAGTGTTATCTCCCATGGCAGATAAGGACAGAAAGGCTGGGAGAGGCTGGGATCTCAAATCTGGAGCTCTAATCTGCTCTTTGGAACATCCCCTGCTCCTTTCTGTCCCCAGTGGAGAGCCACTCCTTCCATTTATCCTGTCTCTTACTACAGGCCTGGCACGACACCCTGCTCTGCTGTTTGAGCACCACGGTAGTGGGGACACAGGTGGGAAATATGCTAACCAGCAAATGGACAGCCACAGACCATAGGAAATGCTTGGAGGCTATAGACAGGGGCCCTGCCCAAGGGGGACCTTGTCCCATAGGCCCTTGAGGCTTGTTTTCAAAGACAAAAGCTGCGCCAGTGACCTCAGCCAGGGCATTGGCAAACAAACCAGACACATCAGTCTCATCCCAGAACTGTCCATGGCCCAGAATCCTGTTAAAGGACAAATGCTCCCGTCCACCCCCACTGAAGGGCTGTGTGGGCACAAGGGTGGCTGCCAGTGGACATGGGATTCCCTGACCCAGCCTCCTGGGGAGCCGCCCCATCCCGCCTCACCTGCTGCTTCATCCAGCCATACGGCACCCTCATGGACAGGAACCTGGTATTCCGCAAGCGTTCCTTGGGCTTATACGCCGCTCCCAAGACTTTGCTCACCTGCAGGAGCCACGCCCAAGAGTGAAGCCTGTGAGTTGGGTGTCCCTGCACCCCTCCCTGTGCTCCCCTCCCAGCCTCACCTGCTTGTCCCTGGACTCCCACTTGCTCCAGCTGTCCTCAGTGTCTTCCAGGGGGCGCTCTCCAGCCCATGGGGACATCAGGGCCATCTTCTGCAGCCTGGCCCAAGCTTCTGTCTCCTTATCTGCCTTCCCATGCAGGAGGGCCATCAGCGCCGCCTGCTCTCGCCGCTGGTATATCAGGGCCTCAGCCAGATCCCGCTGCTCCCTAGTGTGGGGGGCTTTTCTTCACAAGATGTCCTCCCACCACAAGGCAGGGTGACCCTCCCAGAAACCCTGAAAGGCTCTCCCTTTCCTGGGCCTGATCCTTTCCAAACTTCCATCCCTCCCCCAGGGCAAATTCCCAGAGCCCACCACTGAGCAAGTATGGAATTTGCAAATCCTGGATCGATGCAGCCGGCCCAGCAAGTCCTGCCACTCTCCCACCACTCTGTCCTCTCCACCATGCAGACCTGACACCCCGTCTGGCTTTATCTGGACCTCCCCTTGTGGACTATTCAAACATGTCTGCCCCCTGCCCCAGGGAAACCCTGCCTTTGCCTTGTTTGATGTCCCTCCACAGCACTGTCAAGATGTATGCTTTGATGGCAGCACCGGAGCCACAAAGATTCTGTGGGTACCTGACAGACTCCTACTTAAATGTCAAAACCCAACTCTAAAATCACCTCTCCTATGCAGCCTTCCTTACTTGATCCACTCAATCACATAGATTGTCCTCTGAGCCATCCCTGTTCCTAATACTCTCATTACTTATCACATAAAACTGCAGCCATGAGTCTGCATGTCCACCTCCCCAAGTAAACTGTGAGTTCTCTGAAGCAGGACTGTGTCTGGATGTCTTGTATCTCTAGAACCTAGCACAAGGTCTGGCAGTCAGTAGGATCTCAATACACATTTTCTTGAATGAACCAGAATTACTGGAGACTTGGTCAGGAATAAGGATGGAGTGGATGGAGTGGGTAGGAGATGAAACTGCCGGGGGAGGAACAAGTAGCCAGCAGCCTGATGTTCCCTGCAGATCAGGGAAATAACACAAATGTCCACTCAGGATCAGGGCCTTGGGCCTGAGCACTCCTCTGCCAGGGACTCTGGCCATGCAGCAATGACCTCTGCAGGGAAGTCAGCTCTAGCAAATCTGGGCACGGCTGGGGGACAGGGCCCCATCCAAGCACTTGGGTTTTTGTATTTTCCCCTTTCACCGCTCAACCTTTCAGCTGAGCTGAGCTAAAACAGGGCCTGGGCTCTCCAGCCATAGCTGCCACTGTGGAGTAGAGTTGCCTGCAACTCTCAAGCCTCTGGCCTTCTGAGGGTCCTCCTCACCCATGTCTAGCTCTACCCAACCCAGGCAGAGGCTTCCTGGGACCTGGGAAGACTCACAGCCTCTCCCTCCTCAGGCCAGAGAAGATCAAGCAGCTGTGCTCACTCACTGCAGTTCCAGATGGAAGGCCTTCTGGGTGGTGCCAGTGGAGCCGCCCTCTTCCTCTAAGCTTGCTCTGTTTTCATGAGGACCATCACGGGCATCCTGTAGTCTTTTCCACACACTCAGGCCAAATGTTCCTGTGATTTGACCAGACACTGCTCAGAACCACAACTGGCATACTCCCCTCCTCCAAGCCCTCTGCCCCTTATCCTCTACCTTCAAGGGTCAGCTAGCAACCCCTACCCTCAGCCCCCACACCCACTCAAATGTTGAGTGCCAACCATATGCCAAGCATATGGTGACATATGCCACCACAAATATGTACTCCACAAATATGTGGATGAGCCAGACAGAAGCCCTAGGACACACTTGGAGCTCAGGCCTAAAGTATCCTGCTCCACATGTGAACTGAGATGGGGAGAGTACTATGGCAGTGACTGAATGATCCTCAGTCGGGCTTCAGGTAGCTTGTGTGTAAAATGGCAATGGCATAAAACGGTCAGACACCCATCAGATATGAGATTGGGGGTGGTGGGGGAAGGAATGGGGCTGGAGTAAAAAGTAGACAGTGAAAACAGAATTAAGTCCTGCTCCTGGGCAGAGAATAGTGAGTAGCAGGCCATTCTCCTGCTGCAGGATTTTTAAAGTTAAGAAAAATAAAACAGATAGGTACAAAATCATTAAAAAAAAAAAAAAAAATCACTGGAGAGCAATAGAAGCAGAGGGCCAGGTGAACTAAAATGACAGTAAGGGACAAGTTTTCCCAAGAAAAGCTCAGAGTGGGAGCTGCTTTCTTGTCTCGGGGGCACTCCTGAGTCTACACACAGGCTGAATGAGAATCAGACTTGGCTTAGAGAGACAGAGACCAGCAGAGCTTCTGACATCCACTGTGGCTGGCATGATTAATAAATCTCGCCTGAATGCACAGCTGTTTTTCTTGTTAGGACATTTGCCGAGCACCAGGGAGGCTGGGGTTGTAGGTGCTGGTATAGAAAAGCAGAATGAGATCATTGGGAAACAGAGTCCCACTGAAAGAGGAGCCTGAAACAGACACAGATTTCATCCTTGAGACAACTGAACACAGAGGCAAACTGAGTCCTCCTAAAGCTGCTACTCAGCCCCAACCCAGTTCAATCCCCAACTTGATGGAGATGCTCAGCCCTATACAGAGGAAAGAGCAAATGCTCTGGGGGAAATAATATCAACTAAAGTCTTTACAGTCCATTTATACAAGCCCAGAAAAGTGTTGGATTTTTTAAAATTTTATTTTGTATATATGACATTTGAAAAGGCAAATAAAACCAATAATCAAGAGAAGAAATAGGCATTAGAAGTGGACCCTCCAGAAGATTCAGACATTGGAGTTAGCAGATTAAAACTTTAAATAACTGTTACAAATAATGTTAAATAAAATTAAAGAAAATTGAATAAAATGGTGGAAAAGAAGAATTGCAATCTATAGAAAAGAATCAAATGGACATTCTAAAACTAAAAAAAAAATCTAGCCAGGCACGGTGGCTCAAGCCTGTAATCCTAGCACTTTGGGAGGCCAAGACGGGCGGATCACGAGGTCAGGAGATTGAGACCATCCTGGCTAACACAGTGAAACCCCGTCTCTACTAAAAAATACAAAAAAGCTAGCCGGGCGAGGTGGCAGGCGCCTGTAGTCCCAGCTACTCGGGAGGCTGAGGGAGGAGAATGGCATAAACCCGGGAGGTGGAGCTTGCAGTGAGCTGTGATCCAGCCACTGCACTCCAGCCTGGGCGACAGAGCAAGACTCTGTCTCAAAAACAAAACAAAACAAAACAAAACAAAACAAATCTAAAATTAAGAACTAATTCAATAGATTTAATAGCAAGCTGCATACAGAAGAGGATAGGGTTCGTGAACTGGAAGGCAGGTCAGCAAAAAAACAGTGTGGAATTCAGAGCTTGAAAAAAAAAATGAAAAAAAAAAAAGGCATGAGAGACCTATGAGACAAAGTCAAATAGTCTAGCACACATATAGTTAGTACCCCCACAATGAGAGGAGAGAGAATAATGCAGAAGTAATAGTGAAGAGATAATATCTGAATGCTTTTCAAAACTGATGAAAGACATCAACCTCTAGATTTAAAAGATCAGTGAACTCCAAGCAGAATAAATACAAACACTACCACACTTAGGCATATCATAGTCAAACTGCTGAAAACCAAAAGCAGCCAGAGGAAAAAAAGACAAATTACCTTCAAAGAAGCAACTTGCAACTGACTTTTCAACAGAAAATATGAACACCAGAAGACCATTGAATGAGTATGTTAAATGCTGAAAGAAAAGAAACTGCCAGCTGAGAATTCTATACCCAGTAAAATAGTCTTAAATTTTATGGCAAAATAAAGATATTTTCATTGATTGGAAAATTTGATCTGAAAATTATCAATCTGAGAATTTATTAGTGGCAGATAACACTATAAGAAATAGGAAGTTCTTCAGACTAAAGGAAAACAATTGCAGACAGAATCCTAGAATTTCAAGATTGAAGAGCACCAGAAATGGTAAATATGTCAGTAACCATAAAAGGAAATTGACTGCTGAAAGAAATAATAACAACAATGTCTTATAGGAAGACACAACATATGTAGAAATAAAATATATAATAATAACATAAACATGGGGAGGATGTAAGATTCTTGCACAGGGAGTAGCACTAGGTCAAGAATACATATAATGTCTAAGGTAATCACTAAAAGAACAGTACAAAAGATGCCATTTAAAGAGCAAATAGAGCACACACAACAATGATTTTTAAAATATTTGATTAACCCAAAAGAAATAAGAAAAGGAAGAAAAAAGAAACCAAGGATAGGATAAACAGAAAGAATAAATAGCAAGATGATACACTTCAAACCAACTATGTAAGTAATTGCTGATATTTAAATGAAGTAAATATTCAATTAAAAGGTAAAGATTTTCAGGATGAAAAAAATAAGACTCAATTATACACTGTTTAAAAGAGGCACACAAATATAAGAACAGAGATGGGCTGAAAGGGTTGTTTTTAATGAAAAATAGAGAAACAGCATTTTCTCTCCCTTACATGGGCAGGCAGCATTTGCACATGTGAGGCAGGGCCTTTATTCCAGTTGGGTTGGAGGCCACCTATACCTTCGCTCAGGACATGGAACAGAAGATATATGCTTGCTGTTTGGAGGTGGGGAAGGCTCCCAGCCCCCTTCTCAAGCCCTTCTTGGGGTTTCCTCAAGAATAGAACATTTGCTAATCCAAACAGGATGGACTCTCAAATACTGAGAGGGCATGTTTTTTACATCATTTGTTTTATTTTATTTTTTTTATTTTTATTTTTTGAGACAAGATCTTGTTCTATTCCCCAGGCTGGAGTACAGCAGCACAGTCATAACTCACTGCAGCCTCGAACTCCTGGGCTCCAGCGATCCTCCTGCCTCAGCCTCCTGAGTCACTGGGACTACAGGTGCGCACTTCCATGCCCAGCTAAGTTTTAAATTTTTTGTAGAGACAGGGTCTCACGTTGTTGCCCATGCTGGTCTCAAACTCCTGTGCTTATGTGATCTTCCCACCTTGGTCTCCCAGAGTACTGGGATCACAGGTGTGACCCACTGAGCCCAGCAGGGATCACTTGTTATAAATGCACTTGGAGGAGCCATTCTGTTTTTCGCTTGTGTTCTTGTCTCTAATGGCCTGCTAGGGTAAGATCCGGGTTTGGCTTTAGGGAAAGGGAGGGGCCTGCCTTAGGCAAAATCACATGGCTCTATCTCCACTTACCAGAAAAATGCTGCATTTTTAAGGCAAAACCAAGAAAACCAAAGTAAAATGGTATTTTGAATTCCCATTGGCCACTCTACTCATGGGAGGATAGATGTCCAGGACCAAGAAGGTTTTAGGCACTGAAGGGTTCCTGGCCATAACACAATAAAGTTCCATTAAGGAGTAAAATAGAATTCAACAATATATTAAAAGAATAATACATCTTGACTAAGTGGGGTTTACTCCAGGAATGCAGGTTTGAATTCAAAATTCAAAAAATGTAATTTACCACATCAACAGGATAAAGGACAAAAGCTATATGATTATCACAGTAGAAGCAGAAAAAGCATTTGACAGAATTCAACACCTATTTATGATTTTTTTTTAACTCTCTTGGCTAACTGGAAATAGACAAAACATCCTCTCTACACAACAATCAATTGAAGATAGATCATAGACCTAAATTCAAAGCCAAAATCTCTAGTTTCTAGAGGGAAATCTAAGAGAATATCTTTGTAATTTTAATGTAAGCAAAAATTTCTTCGAGAACAAAAACATCTACGTTCTAATTTTAAAACATATTACAAAGCTACAGTAATCAAGACAGTGTGGTACCGGCATAAAAACAGACATATAAACCAATGGAATAGAACATAAAGCCTCGGCCGGGCGCAGTGGCTCAAGCCTCTAATCCCAGCACTTTGAGAGGCCAAGGCAGGCAGATCATGAGGTCAGGAGATCAAGACCATCCTGGCTAACACGGTGAAACCCTGTCTCTACTAAAAAAAAAAAAAAAAAAAAAAAAAATAGCCAGGTGTGGTGGCAGGCGCCTGTAGTCCCAACTACTCAGGAGGCTGAGGCAGGAGAATGGTGTGAACCTGGGAGGCGGAGCTTGCAGTGAACCAAGATCGCGCCACTGCACTCTAGCCTGGACGACAGAGCAAGACTCTGTCTCAAAAAAATAAAATAAAATAAAAAAACAAAGCCTCACATATGTAGCCAAATGATATTCAACAAAAGTGCCAAGACCACTCAGTTGGGAAAGACAGTCTCTACAACAAATGGTTCTGGGAAAACCAAATTGCCACATGCAAAAGAGTAAAACTGGACCCTTATTTTACACCATATACAAAAATGAACTCAAAATGAATTAAATACCTAAACATAATACCCAAAATTGTAAAAACTCCTAGAAAAAAATATGGAAGGAAAGCTTCATAACATTGGATTAGGCCAATGATACGACACTAAAAAACAGGCAATGAAAGCAAAAATAGACATTAAACGTGAAAACTTCTATGTATCAAAAAACATAATCAGGCTGGGTGTGGTGGCTCACACCTATAATCACAGCACTTTGAGAGGTCAAGGCAGGT